GATAAACTTTCGCCTGGGTGATAAAGCCCCTTCCCCATACCAGAGAGAGAGCCCCTCTCCTGCTCCAGGACAGTGTGTATGTGTGTGTGTGTGTGTGTGTGTGTGTGTGTGTGTGAAGGCTGGTGGTAGTGATGGGACTGGCCTTCCCAGCCCAGACTCCTGGGCACCAGGTTCAAAACCAGAAAGACTTCAAGCCAGGAAAGGACTGGATCTTCCAGACATCAGTTTCCTTTGATTGTAATGGATCATTCTCAGGTCTCAGGTGGAGATTCTGGTATTTCCCTGCCAATCCCAAAGACAAATATGTATGGACATACTGATACCTTTGCCCAGGAAAAGGTCGCCATCCTGGCAGAAGTGGAGTGAAAGGCTAGCTTTGGTTGGATCTCTCCATTCCTGGCTAGATGAAGCTAATTCCTTTTTCCTGGTCTGGGCAGCAGCGGGGAAGAGAGCCCGGGACACTGGAAGTTTTTCTGTAAATTGTCTCCAGTGCAGGAGCATCATCATGTACCAAGCAAAGAGGGGTGGTCTGAAGGTACCCGGGGTAGGCGGCATCACCCTTGCCTCCTAGAGAGATTCCTTCTGCCAGTAAGAAGAAACTAAGCAAGGCCAGGCAGCCCGTGTGTACAGTGTGTCTACAGTGTGCAGACAGGGCCACTTATCGGAAATCCCCTAGTTTGTAACACAGTTCTTTGTACTCTTCAAATGTAAAAATGTGCATTCATATGCTTGTTCTGCAAATGTGTACCCAGTAGTTCCCCAAACAAAATTGAATATCATAATCCACAGGACCTTGGCCTTCTTGGACTATCTTTTAGGTTTTCCTGGGCTCTAGCGTGGGTCTGAACACCTGCTTTCCATACTTGAACTACACTGAATCGGTGATGGGCCAGTAGTAGGTTCACTGACTTGTCCAATTAGCAGAAGCCAACCTGTCTGTTCTACTCTTTTCTTTTCATCTCATCTTTGTGTCCATCTGTCTGTCTCTTTCACACACTGTGCAACTCAGAAGAGAGGAACAATTTTTTGTAGACAGATGGAAGGATGCATAAAGAGATAAATTCCTTGGTAGGCTTGGTCCAGCAAGGAAAAGACCCTGATCTTCGAGGTCCCTATTCTTTCTTCCACATGTGATCCCTCCTGGAGGGAGTTAAGAGATAAGCACCTTGGTATCCCCCCACAAGTCCCCCACCTTACTCATAAATCAGTTTCCAACCCCTCTCCCTGGGGGTTGAGTTACAAACCTCGGTAACCCCGGGGGCAGCCTGCCTGGCCATTCCTATTATTCAGCTGTCAGCTGGTGCTTTAAAAACCACCCTTCCCAGCGATCCAGTTACGGGAGATTCAGAGCCCATTTCTTGTCTCTGAGAGAAATCCTATAGCCAGGTGAAACAATGGAGAGGGCTCTGCCTGCTTTCCACAGGGAGCTGGCTTTTCTCTTTGCTTGGGACCAGCCTCCCCTTAACTCTTTGCGAGCCTCCCAGATTGGCAGGGGAGGTCTGCTTTCCTCCTGGCCTCCTCACTGATGCCTTTCAGAACAACTTTTCCTTTCTCCTGGGACCCGCCTTGCAGAGCCAGCATCGGTCAGCAGAGAAGAGAACAAATTGGAACGAAGGGGTAGGAAGAGAAAGAGAGGAATTCTCCAAAAAATTGAGGGTGCTGTGTTGCAATGAGGATTTGCATGGAGCCCAGTCCAAGACCCGGGCTCCATCCATCCTAGGTTGTTGCTGGGGTCAGGGATTTGGATCCCCAGAGCTCCAGCCTGGACAGGTCCTGATACTGCTGATTCCTTGTGCTGGAAAGGGAGAAAGGGCACAGGGGGAGGGGATTGCTTTGACAGTGATGAGAGGTGGGGGTGAGGCTCCTGACCTCTTTGACCTTTTTATCCCTGCCGGCTGATCTCTGGTCTCTCCAGCTCAGAAGGCTGGGCCTCCTGCTGCTTGACCTTAGAGGCTGAGAGCACCGGAGACCAAGCCACAGGTGTCTTTCAGAACCAGCTGAGGAGAGGCTGGGAAGGTCTGGGAGAGAGGTCTAAAATAGGTTGTGGGTGTGACCCTGCCCCCATCTAAAAACTTCCCAGGCTCACTAAGATGACCTCTTTCTACTCCCAGCCCCATTCCCCATACAAGGGTGATTTTTAACCTTGTTTTGGATTGTTTCTGAGACAGGTGGCTCACTATGTAGCCCAGGGTTGGCCTCGATCTCAGGATGCTTCTGTCTCAGCCTCCTGAATGCGGGGATTACAGATGTGTGCCACCATGCCTGAGTGATTTTTAATCCTTTACCATTCACAGACTTCTACTCCACAAAAATATTTGCGTGTACCATACACAGTTCAGCCACTTTTAGCGGCTCATAGACCGTAAAACTCAGGACTCTGGTAAGCTTGGTGAGTTTGTGCATTCCAGGTAAAAACTCTGCTCTCCGGACTGCCTTGCCTTGTGACCCAATTCTGCCTCACAGGGCTGTGATGAAGCAGATGGCTTTAGCATCTCTCATGGATCAGGACCGCTAAGGTGACCCCTCCCCTAAGGGCCTGTGCTGACCCAGAGGACAGACTCAAAGCTGCTTTGTTCTTCAGTTCCATTCTTGAACCCAAAGAATGCCCATGGGTACCCCTGGCCAGGCTGAGGCATGGGCCCAGGTAGAAAGCCAATGAGAAGGATGGAAGGAAGGAAAGGAAGACATTCTGGGTGGGCTCCCAATACTCTTAGCATCTGGGCTTGGTCCACTTACCTCCCCACGTGTGGCATGAGTACAAGGTCATTGTGACCAGTTCTGACATTTCCTCTTAGCCAAGCCTCCTGGTAAAATAATGGTCCTCTTTTTGGCTCCAGCACCTTGTGCTGGACATCTATCAACTCCTGAGAAGACTGGGCTGCTGGTCAACCTTGACCCTCCCCTCTTTCTCTTCTCTGTCCTTTGGGACAGTATTTTCCTACTCATAGCCCACAGCCCTCAGTGTACGTGCTTCACGCTTTTCACTCTCAGGTGAACTCTGAGGGAGATAGGAAAGAATGAATAGCAAAAAGGGACAAGGAGACATCAGTCTTCACCCATCTGAATGCTGTCTGAGTTCACCACGAGGGAAGAGCAGCATGGGGTCAGCCTCACTGCTCCTGGTGGCTCAGGTCACTGTTAACACTCATCTGGCTGTAGCAAAAACTGGTTCCCTCCACTGGTTTCTGCTCTTCACTTACTTTTCCTAAAATTCAGGCTTGGTCAAGTCACTCATCTATGAAATCTTTGCTGTCTGCCATTTATAAAATACAGATTCCTCAGCCTGGCATTGGAGGATCAGCTCTGTCATATGACTTGAGTACACCTGCCTGCCCATCCTTCCTAAATCAGGATGCACCCTCTGGTCCAGTGGAGACCCCTGCCCCTGCCTCCTGGATAAGTTCTCCTGTTTATTCTCTGCCCCCAGGCCTGAGCTGTTTATCTGGTTTTTCTTATTGGAAAGTTGTGCCCAGCTCAAAATCCATCATCTAGAATTCTTTGCATTCTGATTATTCTGTGCCACCCAGCAGTGATTATCCCTGAAATTAACACAACTCATGCTTGCTCTCCATTACTCTCAGGTGGATTGTAAGCTTCCTGAGGGCAGGCACCAGGTTTTTGCACTTAGCCTAGTACCTGGCACACAGTAGGCGCTCAATAAATGTACAGCAGTCCATTGACTGTAGTGGGTAATCTGCATTTTGCTCTCCTGGCAGCACCAGCTGTCATGAGAGGCTGCCATAAACAGCCGTGTGTCAACTGCCCAAGCAGCCCGGGCATTCTTCTGGTTTTTCTTCTTTAATTTAAACAATGTAAATTTTTAAATAAAAACAATCCCAGAGCATTTATTATCATCTGATAAAACTGTATGCACAGTAAGTTCTCAACCATAGGGTTCACCAAAACAATACAAATAGATATTTTAGAGCTACCCTCACAGCAAAAAGACACTTTAAAAAAAAAAAAAAAACTATAGGATTCTTAACTTCTCACTTCACTGACCATTTCTGGTTGGAGACATTTTGCACCAGAGTAATATTAGCTCTTTTTTCTTAAACATAATCCGACCCAGTTATTTTCTTGACTGTTTTTAAAATTTTTTTTTTGCGGTACTGGGGCTTAGCCACTTCACCTTGAGCCACTCCACCAGCCCTTTTTTTGTGATAGGTTTTTTTCCAGATAGGGTCTTGCAAACTATTTGCTGGAGCTGGCTTCGAACCACGAGCCTCCTGATCGCTGCCTCCTGAGTACCTGGGATTACAGGCGTGAGTCACTTGGGCACCAGACTGGGACATTAGTGATTTTTTTTTTTCCGGTAAGGGGGTTTGAACTCAGGGGTCGCACACTTGTTAGGCAGGGGCTCTACCACAGCCAGACCCACATTCTTGAGCTCTTCTCCCCTCCTCCTTTCTCCCCTCCTCTCCCCTCCTCTGCTCTGCCAGACGCTTGGAGTGTTCCTGCCCAGGCAAGAAGAGGACTTGAAGGCCCCTTTGGCTGTGCGGATGCGCTCGATCCAAACGTCATTCAGTACCAGGGCCAAACACACGTGTTCTCAGGCTTCCCGCGACTTCAGGGCTGAGCCGCCCATCAGGCGTGAGGGCGCTTTTCCCCAGGCCGCATCACTGGGACCCGCCACTTGCACCCACTGCACGCTCGCGGTTCCTTCTCTCTCTGGATGCGCGGCAATCACTCAGCCCATTCGCGAAAAGACAAAAGTCACTTTGGCGCCCCCTCTGCCCATCTACTGGAGAACTCAGGGACTCTCTGGCGCTTCTGAAGCCCGCGTTAGAGACGGAATCCAGGCGGGCGACAGCGCTCCTATTGCGCTTCTGGCGGCGGTCAGAAATTCACTCGGCCCCTTATCATGTTTCCAAGGGAAGGTTAGTACATTGGTGACCGTCCCTGGCAGCTGCCCAGCCCGGGACTTGGGGCTCCACTTGCCATTGGCCAGTAGTCGGCGTGACGCGCGGGGGGGCGGGGCCTCATCAGCTGTTTGCGGGATGCCCCGAGCGGGCGTATTTTGGAAACAATACCGCGCGGTGCGCAGTGGCCTCCTCCGCGCTCGCCCGCTCGCAGCCGCCGCCGCCCCAGCCCGCGCCACCCGCTTCGCGCCGCAGCCCGGTGAGCGGCGGGCGGCCGGGGGCCGGGCGGAATTGGATCGCACCTCCTCGGGGAAGTGGGGAGCGGAGTTGCGCTGCGCGTGGGGGCCCGGGAAGGGTTTGGACTGCGGGCATCTGGGATGACCATGAGGAACTTGGGCTCTGGGGTGCGGGAATGGGATGCAGAACCCAAATCTGGGCGCGCTGCTCCAAGAGGAAACTTGGAGCTCTCGGAGGAGTTGGGTCCAGGTGGGCAAGAGGGGTGCACTGCTTAAGTAGATCTGGGCGCCCGAGAACAGCTTGGCCTCTCGGTCTGACTTTGGGGTAGGGCAGGGAGTTGTGGGGCATCCAGCCTCCCTGCCGGAGTCTGAAGTCGCCTCTCTTTAACAGCTGGGCTTTTTCCCTCCTTCCCAATCGAGTCTGGGCGCCAAGCCCCCGAGAGTGCTCGTCACGCTGGACCCTGGCGCAGAGCCCTGGCATCACGACTCGGAGGCCGAGACTCTCCCCTGGAGTCACCCAGGTCTGGTGTGTGTGTGTGTGTGTGTGTGTGTGTGTGTGTGTGTGAGTGTGTGTGTGAAGATCTCAGCCGCTGTTGAGCGAGCGTCTGGCTGCTGCCTGCTCCGAAGCGGAGGAGGAGTCGAAGTTCAGCATCCCTGCTCGAGCCCTTAGGCGCTGGGATGGCCGCGGCGGGCTCTAATTCCCTTTGCTCAGAATAAAGCATTCCGGGCAGTATTCTGCGGAAGTATCCCCTCCTACCAATCTGGACATCAGCACTTCTGCTCAGGGAGCAGAGGGTCTCTAGTTGTTCCCAGTTTACACTTGGCCTTGCCCAGCACCCCTCCGGAGACTCCCACCGACCAGAGAGCCACCTGCAGTTCCTGTGGAGAGTGGGAGGGGTCCCGGGAGCTCGCAGAGCCACACCCTCTGGCCGCACCTCCCCCACGGTCCAGTCTAGGCCAGGGTTGAACTTTGGGGCTTTGCTGGGAGGGGGAGGGGAGGTGATAGGCTTCAAAGGAAACACCAAGACAATAACTCCTGCTTGTGATTGGCCTGGAGCGTCCCTTCTTAGGTTGGGATTGCCAGCCTGCAAAGAGGAGGGTGGAATGAAGGACCGGAGGGGAGCCACTACCAGGTGACAGCACTTGGTCCTTTCATGAACATTGTTTCCTGTTGCTGATAAGCTAGACCCCCCCCTCGCACCCCCCTGGGGAAACACTATCCAAAGATGTCAGCTTTTTCGTGTAGCAGGCATGGGTTCACTCTCCTGGGAAGAGGGCAGACAGGACCATAGCTCCAGGAGAGAGGGGGAGGGTTGTTGAATAAGCACCTTGGAGAACTTAGATTTCTTAATTTAACTGAGATTCCTTTAAAGACCTCACCAGTCCACACACCATTTGGCTTGTTCTTCAAAGGCAAGATACTGGGGGCCAGAGCTCCTGGAGATCTGTAATTGAGCCTGACCAGGACAAACTTTGTCTTTGCTTTGTCCTAGCCATTCAAGTGGTAGCTGCTTCTGGTAGCCCCAGGGCTGTAAAAGGGGAGCTGGTTGGGAACTCCAGCTGCTGGGTGGAACCTCTATGAGCCACCGGGAGTCTGCTGAGTGCCCACTTCCATGAGCCATCAGGTGGAGCTAGAGGAACTTTATCACCGAGAAAGTCATCAACAACCTGAAGAGTGCAGGCAGTGAGTGAAGTCATAGAGACAGGGCTGAATTTCACTTCCTTCTGTGAGGCACGTTGCACCTACCAGGTTCAGCGCTGGCAGGAATGGGAAGCTGCGGGGGGAGGCAGGGGTAGGAGGATTTGAAGTCACAGAGATTAGTGATCTGACCGAGGTAGGAGAGGCTGGACGATCCACCCTGGAGGCCAATCTGTGTCGGGCAGACAGAGCTACCCTGCTCGAGGAGAGCTGAGAGAGCGGCTGCGTTGACTCACTTGGGTCTTTATTCCCTCTGGCCGGACACTCTGGACAGGCACAGCCTGTTGTGTTGTGCAAGCAGTGGGTGGAGACTAGTGTGGCTGGGCAGTAGGGCGGGGCTTAGCAGGTTTGGAGGGAACCTGGCTGCCCTGGGATTGCTGCCTTTTGTTTTTGCTGCTGATCCTGGAACTCAGCTCAGACTGAGATGAGGGCTTGGAGGGCAGTGTGTGTGTGTGTGTGTGTGTGTGTGTGTGTGTGTGTGTGTGTGTGTGTGTGTGTGTGTGTGTGTTGAGCACTGTGTGTACGTGTGTGTGTGTGTTGAGCACTGTGTGTACGTGTGTGTGTGTGTGTGTGTTGAGCACTGTGTGTACAGCCAGTCTCTGCCACCTTTTGCTCTCACTACCACTTGCAGAGGCTGGTCTTGCTTGTATTTTCTCAGGTACCCTGCATAGTGGTAGCACCTGAGCCTACCTCTGCTACTTTTCACAACTCTCGCAGTCAGTCAAACTTTGTGGCCAGCCAAGGTCAGAGGAGAGAGGGGAAGCAGAAGGGTGACTGGTGGCCCCAGGGAAGAGATGTGGAGAGGCCCTGAATGTTGAGGCAGTCCACATTTCAGGTGGTGGGTCTCACCCTTGGCAATATTTTTATGAGCAAGGTTGTGTGTCATCAGAACCTGACCTGGCTCCCTCAAATAAGGGGAGCAGGAAAGAAAGGAAGGGAGGCCTGTCCTTCCAACTGTGGCCTGGGTGGGGCAGCACCCTAGATGTCTCCATTGCTACCTGACAGGGGAATTGGAGCCGCCTCAGTGTGTAGAGGAGCTGGAGGATGATGTGTTCCAAGCAGAGGACGGGGAGCCGGGGACCCAGCCTGGGCGCTTGCTCTCTGCAGACCTGTTTGCCCAGAGCCAGCTGGACTGCCCGCTAGGCCGGCTTCAACTCTTCCCACTCACCCACTGCTGTGGTCCTGGGCTTCGACCCACCAGCCAGGAAGACAAGGCCACCCAGACCCTCAGCCCAGCCTCCCCCAGCCAGGGTGTCATGCTGCCCTGTGGGGTCACTGAGGAGCCCCAGCGACTCTTTTATGGTGAGTGCTGTTAGCCTCAGGATTCTTCCCATAGAGAAGGGGAAAAAGAGGGGACTTTCCCTCCCCAAACCTGCCCTCTGCTATTTCCTTCCCCAAATCTTGCGTGTGTGGGGGGGGGGGGCTCCATTCCTCAACTTTCCATCTTTGCTTCTCTGCTTGTTGTTGCTTCTCATCTGTGCTCAGGTGCCCAAAAGAGCAGAGTTGTCAGCTCTTCCTGAGGGATTCTTGGGTCCGTGGTATCTCCTTTGACATCCTATGCCCCTTGAGTGACCCAACCTTTTTGTGTCCTGCTACAGTGACTGCCTTCCGTAAAGCCAGCGACTCTTTTATGGTGAGTGCTGTTAGCCTCAGGATTCTTCCCATAGAGAAGGGGAAAAAGAGGGGACTTTCCCTCCCCAAACCTGCCCTCTGCTATTTCCTTCCCCAAATCTTGCGTGTGTGTGTGGGGGGGGGGCTCCATTCCTCAACTTTCCATCTTTGCTTCTCTGCTTGTTGTTGCTTCTCATCTGTGCTCAGGTGCCCAAAAGAGCAGAGTTGTCAGCTCTTCCTGAGGGATTCTTGGGTCCGTGGTATCTCCTTTGACATCCTATGCCCCTTGAGTGACCCAACCTTTTTGTGTCCTGCTAGTGACTTGCCTTCCGTAAAGTAGCGAATGTTACCCTAGAGAAGTTTAGGGAATCTGTGACTTACTGTTTACACTCAGGAAAAACCCAAGCCAGTTCTGGTACAGAAGGTTCCTGAAGGTAGAAGGTGGTCCCCAGTTGTCACTTGGGACTTTCTGTGCTTGAAAGGGGAACTGGAGAAGGAAGTTGGGCCTACCTGGGCACGATGCCAGCAGAGGGGCTGTTTCCAAGGCTAAATCAGACAAGACCCCTTCATTTGTGGGCTTAAATGGTTTGTTTTATGGCAAAAGGGCAGGGCTAGACACTGTCTGTTTTCTTCTTTTAGCACGCTGGCTTGCAGAGGGAGGGTAAAGGTCAGAGACCATCCTGCTGTGTCTGCCCGTGCAGACTGAGGAGACAGTAATTCCCAGAGGGAAGTGCCCCTAGGCACTTCTGATAAAGCCGTTCTGGCGGGAGTCTGAGAAGTTGAAGTTGGACCCGGTGGGAGGAGGGGAAGCTGAGAGGAGATGAGGGATGGGGAGGAGGAGTGGGGGGAGGGAGGACGACAGGCTGGCGCCCCTAGCGGCCTCTCTAGCACCAGCACCAGGGAGCATCCTGCTCTGGTGCCCAGGACTTGCCCGCGGCCTCCAGAGAGGAACTTGGCTGGTCCGTGGGTCTCAGCAGTTTTCTCTTCCTTGCTTTTGTACCACTGCCTAGAACTCCAGGTGTTCAGCCCAGTGTTTCTCTACTGCACCAAAAAAGTAGACGCTTTGCGTTCTGTTTTTCTGTCTCTGTCTTTGCTTAACTCGGGAGCTCTGGAGATTTTTCCAGAGAAGAGCTTCAACCTGCTGCTACATGAATAAAAAATTAATAAAGTGTGGTCAAGTATAGCATGAGAAATTAGGACGGAAGATTGGCATGTCTCGCACACTTACTCGCTGCCTTGCACGGACAGTGGAGAATTGAGAAGGCTGGGTCTATTCCTTCCTTTTTTTTTTTCCTTTGGCAGTACTGGGGTTTGAACTCAGGGCTTCACACCTGCTAGGTGGGTACTCTAACATTTGCGTCATCCCCTAGCCCTTTTTTCATTTTAGTTATTTTTCCAATAAGGTATGAGGCCAGCCTCCAACTGAGATCCTCCTATCTCTTCCTTCTGAGTAACTGAGATTACACCATGTGGCACCATGCTCAGCTCATTTGTTGAAATTAGGTCTGGCTAACTTTTTTGACCAGGCTGGCCTCAACAGCAATCCTCCTGATCTCTTCCTCCCAAGTAGCTGGGATTGCAAGCATGGCCACCACACCTGGCCATGGGTCTGTTCCTTTCTATTCTTCCAACATCATCAACTTTTTTTGTGTTGTGTTTGTGCAGGACATTGAACTCAGGGTCCCACGTGTGCTAAGAACTCAGCTATCACTGAGCTGCCCTCCCAGCCCCTGCGTTAACTTTTATACCCTTGGGCAGCGGGCAGGACAAGCTGTCTAAGCTAAAAACAGATTGCTTCCTTTCCCTCCCATTCTAGCATTTACCCTCAGCCCCGGGTCTTGGCTGGACCAGGCAGCCTTGGGGAGGATGGTTGCAATGGGGGAGAACTGAGATGTGAGTCCTCTGTCTTCACAGGCAATGCTGGCTACCGCCTGCCTCTCCCTGCCAGTTTCCCCGCAGGCTTGGTCCTGGGGGAGCAGCCCCCAGAAGGGCAGTGGCCACATCGAGTGGAAGTACAGATCGCCCGGAAGCTTCGGTGCATTGCCGACCAGTTCCATCGGCTTCATGTGCAGCAAGTATGCCTGGGAGCTGGGAGGGGCTCAGCCTGCTGGGCTAGGGGCCATAGCCTTGCCTCTGTCCTCTTGTCAGCCACTCCCTGCCAGGCCTTATGGGTCTGTTGCAGAGTTTGGTCTTGGCGGTTGCCAGTCCTGTGAACTGGTGGACGGCTGGATGAGGGCACATCGCCCAGCTCGGAGTTGGTTAACTGTCTGCCCTCAGGAGCTGGGAGATGCTGCCATCCCACCCTGCAGATGGGATGGCTCTCTGTGACCTCTTCTCCAGGCCAGGGTGGGGGGCTTGCCTCTCGCAGACCTAAGGGGAAGATTTTCAGGGTGCTGCAGTGAAACTGGGCAGTTGGGGGGTGTCTGGCTGAGGTACAGTGGGAAACGGGCAGTCGGGCCAGGGGATGGGGCCTGAGTGGGGGAAGTGGTGGAACCGGTTGAAACCTGACACTTTGCAGCTGGGGAGCCACTCCTCACTGTCTGTGTCTGGGAACCGGGCCTGGGACTCTGGAGAGGCTGGTTTCTGGATGACTGCCAACACAGGGACAGGAGCCTGAGGCTGGATCCATGCTTGCACAGCCACCGCCTTGGCAAAGCCACAACACCGGGAAATGAACACTTGCCCTACTTCTGGGTGTGTGTGTGTGTGTGTGTGTGTGTGTGTGTGTGTGTGTGTGTGTGTGTCTTGTCTGTCTGTCTGTCTACAAACCAAAGGAATAAATAACTACAGGACTGGGCAGACGCTGAGGTTGGTTGGGTAACTTCAGGTGAGCAGAAGAGACTTACTGGTAGTAGTAAGTTTGCCTTAAAGATCAAACCATTGCCAGCACCAAGGGGAAGAGGAATTGACCATGGGTTTCCCAAAAACAGGCCATGGCGGGTGAGGAGACAGGTTACCATATTCCTAAGCTCTCTGCCAAGGAGTTCCAAGGGAGACTTGGGGTTACCCCTGGTCCTGGTAAGCTGTCCCAGGCCTCAGTGACCAGGAAGGAGGACAGCCTGATGCTTAGATTATAAGGCAGCCTTGGCACCCACTGTGGTCCCTGTTTCCTCTTGAAGCATTTTGTGGGAACTCGACTTAAAGTTACCCCTTTGGTCCATGTGTGGACTCCCAGGGTTTGAACTCAGGGCTTCACATTTGCAAAGCAGGTACTCTGCTGCTTGAGCCACACCTCCAGTCCATTTTGTTCTGGTTTATTTTGGAGATGGGGTCTCTTGAACTGTTTGCCCAGTCTGGCCTTGAACCATGGTCCTCCTGATCTTAGCCTCCCAAGTAGCTAGGATTACAGGTGTGAGCCACTGGGCTTGGTCCCTCTGATTCTTGCTTGCAGTCTCTTGGCCTCCTTCCTGCCACTTATCCACTCCATCTTGGTGGCACAGGCCCATGGCAGAGCCCAGTTCATGGCTTCTGGCCCTGGTACTGATGAGGATGGAAGGACACAGTGGCTATCTAGCCTCACCTAGAGGACAGTTGGAAGGCAGCATTCACAGTAATCTGACTGCTCTCAACAGTTGCTTCCAGAATGTTCCTCTGTCCATTGGTGAGCTCTCATGGGTTTGAGAACAGGCTGGAGGCCTCCCCCAACCCAGCTGAACCCTGGCTTAGTTGAGGGCACTGGTCAGTTGTAGACAGGATGTCATCCTCTCAGCCAGAGCCATCCCAGCAGAGGAGAAGAGAAAGTGGTGGAGAACTGCGGGAGAGGCTCCCCTGCGCTGCACCTCACTCCACAGTGGCTCCCAAGTTCCCTCTCCCTCTCAGTTCCTCCTGTCAGCCCCCTATTCTGCCTTCAGGGGAACAGCTGACTGCTGTTCTCCCAAATTTCCCATTACATTGAGACAGGCTTTTTGTCTTTTTCTTGGAGAATTCTCCCCAATCCTCTTGTTTTGATCCCTCCTTCCCCACTAAGGGTCAGGCTGATGGCCACAGGCAGACGGACCAATAGCACTATGACGCCTTTTAGCAGCTGCCTTTAAAAAGTGAGTCATTTTCTGAACTTGAATCTTACATAAACTATGGTCTAATAGTTTCATATCTAGAAAGTACTGTTGTCATACCTACTTTTTTTTTTCGGTATTGAAGTTTGAACTCAGGGCCTCACACTTGCTAGGCAGCCGCTGTACCACTTGAGCCACTCCACCAGCCTTTTTGTTGCATTTATTCCTCCTCAGAGAATGATAGTTGTTCCCTGTCATTGTGGGATGAATTTAGAGGCCTGAGAGAGGCAACCTAGAGGCAGTAAAGGGGAGGCCTGAGTACCCCTTTCCTTTCCCCCAGATCTGAGAGTGTCAGGCCTGTTGTGTCAGGAGTGTGAGCTCCCCACTTTTGTCCTTGGTTGCAGACTTCAGTTAGTTTTTTCTCTGCACAGGGGACTCCTCCCTTAGAGATGTGGAGCAGAGGGAGGAGACATGATGATGAGGTAGGATAGCATAGCATGCCGACATGGCCCCAGAGACAAGTTCCAAATTCCCTTGGTGTCAGTTTCTGGGCCACCACTGTCCATCGTCTCAGCATATTTCCTGAGGGTGCTGCTAGGTGGAAGACTAACCTGGAACCCAAGTGACTGGTCCAGGTGGCGCCTCTGTATACACAGCAAGAATCTGAGGCAGAATCAGAGTCACCGGCTGCTCACTGTTACCTGTTTGGATTTCCAAAGCAGCGGCAAAGTTGTAGGTGGAGTGAGTAGAGGTAAAACTTTCTTTTTTTCTGTTTTTGGAGGGGGAGGACTAACTGGTGAGACAGGGTCTCACTGACCTCCAAGTTGCCATTTTCCTACCTCTGCCTGCTGAGTACTGGAATTACAGATGTGTGCCACCATGCCAAGTTGAAGTAAGCTTTTCCAAACCTTGACACGAGCTTTGCCTCCATGTGCTGAGTCAGGGGGGAAAATTCCCAAAACTCTTTGTTCCTTTTGGGCTGACAGGCTGCAATAGGGATCCCTGATGGTCCATTGATGGTGGGGCACTTCACATGGGTTCTGTGAGGGTGACATCTCAGTGTTCCTGTGGCTCTTGAGTTTCTTGTGTGGAGGAAGAAGGTGCATATTCAGTTTTTAACTGAGCTCATGAGCTGCCCTGGCCAGAAAGTTTGAGCCTTAACTCCTTTCCATTCTCCATGCCTTGTCTCTTCAATTAGGGCTTACAGAGAAGCAGTAACTGTTTTTCCTCCCCTTGGGAAAGTCTCGTGGCCTGGTGGCCTATCTTTAAATTTGTGGGGATATCTCTGGGTAATGTTAAGAAGCAAACAAATTGCCAAGAATGGTAGTTCCTGTCTCTAATCTTAGCACTTGGGAGGCTGAGGCAGGAGGATCATGAGTTCGAAACCACCCTGAGCTACATAATAAGACCCTGTCTCAACAAAACAAAACAAACCAAGAATTCTCAAATAAGTAAGTGCTGTATTCCACTAAGTGAGTAAACTTACAAGAAAGTTGGAATTCTTCATGTTGGGGATAGCTTTTTCATTTGGATCAGGAATAGCTCCATTCAGAAAAATCAGATTCAGAAATACCCTGAATAGTAATTAGACTTTTTGGAAAATGAAATCTGAGGAAATTTTAGTCACTCAAGGTGAGATCACTTCAGCTGTAGTATCACAGGAAGAATCCTGGTTGCAGGCAGATCTGGATTAAAATCCCAGCTCCCACTTACACACTCTGTGTTCATGGGTGAATCATTTAGCCCCTCCTGGCCTGGGGTTCCAATGCATACCTGGCAGAGGGGTTGAGAAAGACCTTTGGGAATTGTAATATAAATAGCCATCAGGCTGGGGGGGGGGCTTGTAGCTCCATGGTAGAATATTTGCCTAGCACATGTGAGGCCCTGGGCTTGATCCCCTGCACCACAAAAAACAAAGATAAATTTTTAAGGTATGGGCAATTGGACACTTTTGGAAATGTGTTAAAAGATGAGTTTGGGCCAGGCGCTGGTTCATGCCAGTTAGGACGCTGAGCTCAGGAGGATTTGCCATTGCCTGGCAACTAGTTCATGAGACCCCATCTCCAAAATAACCAGAGCAAAATGGACTGGAGGTGTGGCTTTAGTGGTAGAGCACCTGCATTGCAAGTGTGAAGCCCTGAGTTCAAACCCCAGTTCCACTTAAAAAGAAAAAGAGAGAGTTTGGGGGTTTTGCTTGGCCCTGGCTTTGTAATTCCTGGGGAGCTCTCTTGGAAGTTGTTTGCAAGCTATGTTTATTAGCTAGCAGCCTCTTGCCCAGCAGCCTGGATCCTTTGTTCAGGGAGTCCCTGACTGCTTCCTGACCTGTTAGGATGCTCTCCGTGGTGATCAGAGGTAGCTCGGGCTCTAAATGAGACGGCCCTGCATGGGGCTTCTCAGAGATTTGCCCTAGAGTGAGAAGGGCCCCCAGGAAGTTCAGCCTCTGTCGCAGGAGTGGGAGATCCACTCGGGACAGTGCCAGGGGAAGAGTGAGGCTGGGGGAGGGGCTGCAAAGAGCCAGTGTGCGTGAGAGCCAGCACTGGGGCTTGGGGGCCCTGTGTTTGCTCTGTGGCTGGCTCTGTTTATATCACTAGCTATATTTAGCTTCTGAGTCATCAGCGTGGCAGACTAGAGGCTGAGTTCCCCACACTCTCTGCACCTGACTGCTCTCTCTTCCAGAAGGGCCTTGTAGTTCCGGACAGTTCATCCCTTCCTGCCCCCCAAGACAGACTGTGAGGATGGGAGTTGGCTGTGGTGTGTGTGTGTTTTGTGGGGGAGGGCAATGATGAGAGGAGGGGACTGGGGGAGACACAAAGGAAGATAAAGAAAAATGCCTGGTCTGCCTTTTGATCCACTTCCGGCAGCCAGGAGGACATGTTCCGTGACCAGAACAAGAACAGTCAGCCTGTGTGCCCAGAGGAGGGTCCTGCCTTTATCCATTCCCAGAGTGCCTTGCCCTGCCTAACTGGCCACCAACAGGACAAGAACAGCCAGCTGCAGAGGCCCCAAGAGCCTTGAGTTCCTTCTCCACAGGCCCCTCCTTCATCCCCTCTGGCTCCTCTTTGATGGGTGCATGTCACTTT